AGGCCGACCAACACTTTGCAGCCGCTACGTCAAGACCTATAAATATACCACAGAGCGCAAAACTGGTTATCCATTCTTTCCCAGCATCTTCTCTAGCTTCAACGGCCTTCTTGCCTCTACCATGCGCGCAGGTCTTTGCATTTCTCATACATTTTACCTTAAACTATGAATTTTGTCCCTCTTCGGGCTTTTGCCATAGCCTTAGGGTTTTTTAGTGAGACTTACTACTTATGCAAGTTCCTACCTTATTAAGAATAAGCGTTGTTCCTTGGATTCAGTGCCGATGAGTTGACTTCCTCAACTTCTGCATGATTTTAAATCTACCTTGAGTATTTAGAGCAGTTCCACAGGGGAACTGATAGGCCGGCACCCAACCAAAAAAATGGCCCGGCACCCAGGCTTTCCCCTCCAACCTAGCAGATACGCTGGCACTCAGCCTAAGCTAGGCAACAGATCGGCTCAAAATCGACAGACCCAGATGCTGGGCTATTTAACATCAGCGGGGGCAACCGTGACAACCTCCGATTCCGACAGAACAATGATAAATAAACCTAGAAAGCAACCCGGCAAACCAAGAAAAACCCATATCACAATTTGCAATACCGAGCTTAAGAAATTAATTTTCTGAAAATTTGGATAGAAAAAGGCCACTTCCAATAAAACCTATGAGGAAAAACTGGTTTTTGTGAGATTTGTTGGCTGTTTGGTTGATTTTCTAGGAAAAACCAGCTGAGGATGGAAAAGGTGGGCCGAGGAACCTTACTGCTGCTGCGATGTTTCATTTTTCTGTGGGGAAGACCGGAAGAGTTCCTTAAATCCGAATGGGGAGAGAGAGAAAGAGAAGGAGAGAGAGAGAGAGTGAGAGAGATGCAGAGGGAAGTTCCAGGGAGCGACGCGACATGGTGAGGTTTTTGAGGGGGAGTGGGAGTGATGGATTGGGGTTTAATAAAATTGATAATATTTTAATAAATTAAATTATTATTTTATAATAAAAATTAATAATATTTTATTAAAATTGACTAGGCTATTAAGTTTTAAGGGTGGAGATGCTCTTAGCCTATTACTGTTCATTAGGGTCTATCACGGTTCACTGAGTGAATAAATGCGCTGGGTGCTAGCGCAAAGTCTTTAGGGGTGGAATTGCTCCTACACACTCAAGGAGGAGTGTTCTAAACATTCCTAGTTTAAGTATGATCGTGTAAGTCCTAGATTATATTTGATTCTAGTTATCCTTTCCTATTGTATCTTGTATTCCTTGGGGATGAAGGAATATCTTCTCTCCCTTTACTACTATAAATAAAGGCATAATGTAGGAGGGATAACAACACACACATTCCCCTACAATTCAACAAATACATATCTCTCTTCTCCTTGCCGCCGGCCCTCTCTCTTCTTGTCAGATAAAATAGACCACAACAAAATATACTAATTGTAACATTTTTAACACTAAAGGAATATATTTAAAAATAAAAAATATTTTATTATTGAAATAATTAATGATGTTATTAATACCCAAGGACCTTGATCAAAAATTGAAAAGAAATAAGGTTTTAATCAATGGAGTAACAAAATGAGGGATGAGAACCTAATTTCTCCTAAAAATAAAAAGAAAAACTAATGAAAATGGCTTCAAAACTTTAAGTTTTAATCAAAAACCACCTAATAACTTTATTTAATGATAAGGACAAGAGATTAAAAAGAAGAAAAACATAAACTAATCCAACCAAAGCGCGTGCAACACACGCCAAGCAATTCATCAGAGTTAGAACCGAAAAGAACCACGTGTAGTCTGTAGTGCAAAAGCTTATCACCTTCTTCAACCTTTTCTCTCTCTCTTTACCCGTCCATATTCATCCCTTTCCAAGGGACTTGCTTCATTAAATTCAGATAAAAGTTAGAAAATGGTGGGTTACAATACCAAATGAGGCGACTTGCTTCATTAATTTTGGTAGACATAGATGCATGTGCCATCTTCTTCTCGAGTAGTCTAACGCCAATGTCAGCATCTAAAACTCTAACAAATTATGCTAAAGTTGTTCTTGTGACTCTCTCAAACTCGTATCTCGGTGGGTTTACAAGGGGTGGCCTAGGTTTAATTTGGTCTGGGTTATGGGCAACCAAAACTGATGTGGGTATTTTTGTATGCGTAAATGGAGAGAGAAGGTTGAAGAAGGTGAATGGGAAAGAGGAGGGGAAGAGATGACTCAATTTGTGTGGAAAAAAAAATTAAAGGAAAGTCAAATAAATTGATTGAGAGGAATGTCAAATAACAAACACGAATGTGATAGTACTAGTTACGAAATAATGATAGTATTAGTGTTCGGTTTAAAAAATAGTCAGTGTTTAGTTTACGAACTGGTGATAGTACTAGTGTTCCTTTTAAGAAATAGTCAGTGTTTAGTTTACGAAACAGTGATAGTACTAGTGTTCCGTTTAGTTTATGAAATAGTGATAGTACTTGTGTTCGTTTGATAAATAGTCAGTATTTAGTTTACGAAACAGTGATAGTACTAATGTTCCGTTTAAGAAATAATCAACATTTAGTTTACAAAACAGTGATAGTACTAGTGCTCCGTTTAAGAAATAATTAGTGTTTAGTTTACGAAAAAGTGATAGTAATAGTGTTCTTTTGATAAATAGTCAGTGTTTAGTTTACGAAATAGTGATAGTATTAGTATTCAATTTATGAAATAGTGATATTACTAATACTCAGTTTAAGATATAGTCAGTGTTTAATTTAAGAAATAGTGTTCATTTTAAGAAGTAGTCAATGTTTAGTTAAGAAATAGTAATAGTGCTAGTATTCGTAAAACTGAAAAATTGAATTTTCTTTATTTTTGGTCTTGTAGTATTATTACTTAATTTGTTCTAAAAAAATTACAATTTTTTATTTATTTTTAATCTTGTAATATTATTACTTAATTTGTTTTAAGAAAATTACGAAACAATGGTCAAATTTAAAAAATAAAAAAAGTATATTGTTTATTGAGTAAGAGTAGAAGAAGAGTGGGGAGTGGTGAAATGAGAGAGGAGAAAGAAGAGAAAAAGTTGACGTGGAATGGTGATTTGACAAAGAAAATTAATAGAATATGTGGAAGAGAGAGAGAGAGGGAGAGAGAGAGAGAGAGAGAGAGAGAGAGAGAGAGAGAGAGAGAGATTAAGGATGATGGGCGTAGTGAGTTTGTGTGGGTGATGTGACGTGCGAGACTCGGTTCGTCAATTTTTACTTTATGATTTTTTTTTTCTTTTAAATTCTTAGGTTAAATTGTTGTCCTTTATATTAAAATTTAAGTCCTTTTAATTAAAGTTTAAGATCTTTTTATTAAATAAAATTAGTGGATGGTTTTGGTTAATGAAAAGTTTAAAGAATCCATTTTCAATAAAGTTCCAAAAAAAATAAGCAGTCCATCAACACTTGAGTAATAATCTAATTACTAACAACCACATTATTTAGTTTATAAAATTTAATTTCCCTAGCAATTATCCATATTAGATATCAACCCTAGTACAAAACCGAAGGCACTAGCTGACATTGGCTTGCATTCATTCAGTAAAATCTCAAATGAAGGAATATATTGAACAATGACTATAAAATCTAGTGGTTGAGATGTTTTGAGTTAGGAACAAAAAATTTGCGCACTTTAGGAAAAGCGGTACTCGGAGAGCGAGGAATCAAACACATCAACTCATTGCAAGGATGAATGCTCTCAATTTCTTGAACTAGTACTCTCTTGCACTCTAGAGAAATTGAAGAAACTAGTTAAAACCGACTGTCATTAGTACTTGAATTTCAAAGGAATTAAGTGTCAAAATTCAAGTTCGAAGGAAATTACGTGAGACTTAACTTGAGTTTCAAGAAATGTAAATATAATCAATCCTCGTACACGTATCAGTGTTTCACTTGTTCGGAAAAGATAAGGTTCCAAAACCTCAGTTTAATTAGACTTGGTACATGTCGGTATTTCACTTGTCCGGAACATATGATTACAAGGGCCGCAGCCAAGGGAAGTACAGAAAGCCAACTCAGGGCTAACAACGTCTGACAGAAACACAGTAAAGGAAAGCCGTCTCAAGGATCATTTGTCATAAAAACCCATTTTTGAATGGCCTTTTAAGATATCGCATGTACATAATATGAGAAGTGAAGAGTTAAATGGCTATTACCAAAATTAGGGGGATAGTGGATATACAATTGCAGATGATACTTGTTTCGGCCAATGCCCTTAACACTTGTGATTTGGCACAAATATTGTGTGTCAAACTTTGTTTGGGACTGTGTTCCGATCACGACCAACCTCAGAGCTAACTTGTACAAATCCTGGTCGCCATCTGCGTGCAGTACGATTTCCCAAAATGTGAAAGGGAACGGCAATAATATGGTATGATCGGGAGCACATTATAGTGGGGGGCAAAGAAAAATAGAATGGTCAACAATACGAGTTTGAGGCTTCAGAGTTAGAACGAGGTAGCGTATGTACTTCTGAGTTTTGGTGTAATATGAAAGCAGGCTATTATATAACAGAGCCCTAACAATTAGTGTTCAACTTACCTAATTTTCCTATTCAACATGAAGTTAAATGTACAGAAACTATTAGTACCATTTGTCAGCAATAAGTACCTCTCATACATGGAAACATTGATGGGTTCCGAGTTTGCTTACCAAAAGAAAGAATAGGGTTCTTATTCATTTACCCAAAAAAGGTTTCTAATTTAGAAAACTCTAGCATTCAGTAATTAAGCTCTCGTCCACAGAATCGTACAGTTTGTAGTTGTACATATACCCAGACTAGCAGGTGTTCATGAATAACAGGTTTAAGTTTCTGATGCATTAATAGGTATCCTAAAGAGTGTCAATCTAAGAAAATTAAACGACACTATTGAACGGAAGCAATGAATACATGGACAACTCAGCCTTTTATATGATTCCTTTCTTCACTTTGTTTTGTTAGCTAGTTTGAAATACATTGTTGGCTTATTCCGTCGACACTAGACCATAGACAAAGCATAAGGCTTGTTATCTTGCTTGATATATACATTGACGTCCCCTTACAGAATAAAATGACACAAATAGCTAGTAGCTACAAGAGGTTTGATATAAACTATACAGAGTATACTCAAAATTTGATCCAAGGGTACTTCATACCGATCTTATGCACGTTAGAAAAGAAGTTCCTTGATCCAGCTCCACACGTAGTAACCTTGTTTTTGCATGTTTGTTCAAGGAGTCATAAGACATTACTCAAGTGGCTTGAAACCAGTTCTTCTAACCTGCCTGAGCTTGCCAAATTACCTTGGTCCAACTCAGACCAAAGCTAATATATAGTGGCAATATAAATTTTCTGAAGGGTTGTTAAAATATGGTTTCCATGATCAATTCTTCTAAAACGCCTTCTACCATCTTAAAAATGACCTCCTCAGAATCATTCCGGAGATCTAGCCATGCCCCAGAGCATGCTATGTCCTTTTCAACAATTTGTTGCAATGTCTGTGGCAATGAATGCGGTAAGAGGTACCAATCAACAGACTTCATCACCTCATGAATCACAGCATTCTCGGAAAATTGTCTTGAGGCAATTGGCTTGATAAATGACACCCAAGGGGAGCATGGAAGATGAGTATGATATACCCCGTCAAGGACTTCATTTATACAGTCAAAGAACAGCATCCAATCACTATTGAATTGGTTAGCCTGTAACTTTACTGCATCAAACAAGAATGGATCAAGCAGTTGATCTGATGAATGGGGCATCAGTGAGAGCTCATTCCAATTTGGGGTGGAAGCTTGCAACACTGCCTTAATGTACTCAGAGATAACTTGGTGTTCCCTCAAAGAAGAAGTTTCAGGGTCCAAATGGGACCTCGTAAGAGAATGAGAATGGTGCTCTTCAGCTGCAGAAATGGATGCATGGTTTACCTCAGTCAGACTCACATGAAGTGGATAGGGGAAAAGAAAAAGAAAGGAAAAATGGTAGGTCTTGGTGAAGGCTTACCAGGTTCAAATATGGTGCTTGCGGGACTGGTGGCGTCTACAAAATACTGCTCAAGTACAGAAACTGGACTTGGCTGCTCTCGTTTACCTTTGATGTTATCAGAATCTTCCACCCTCTGAATACTTGGAGTTGATGAGAAAACATCTGGTGAAGATGTTAATGGCTGATCCTCAAAATGATTAGTTTCTCCTTGGTATGTAGCATCAGTAGTCTCTATGGTATTGGTCTTCTCCGTGTTCTCTGGTTTGGATAGAACTTCCAAAGAACTAGTTTCCCCTGATTGGATAGTATCCTTGACTTCTATGGTAGTTAATTTGTCTGTGCTGTCCGATTCAGAGGGAAATTCTAAGGAATTTGCTTCTCCTCGGTGCATGGTGGAATTATTCTCTAAAATTTGGACACAGCCTGCAGAAGATTGATTATTAGCTAAGAAAATAGAACATAAGTAAATATCAAATAATGAAAAATATGTAATTACTAACTCCATACCTTTAGGCCTTGAATTATCTCCCAGCCCTTTGATGTCAATATTTTGCAGTATATCAAGAACTTGCAATTGATCATCAAGTTTCTTATTCTCAGGCATGGCCTCTACGTCCTGCCTCAGTGGAGTCAAGTAGCAGGTTTTCTTTTCTTTCTGAAGCCTAGACTTGTTCTCATATACCAGTTGGTAATTGCTGTAGGGTGAAAATCGCATTGGTTCATCAACAAATGTATTTTCCCAGTCCCTCTCCGGACTGCGTGTAGGCAAAAAGTCATCCTCAGGAAATGATGCCACCCCTTCGCAGGTTTTTGGTGTCCGTCTTACAAAGTTGTTCTTATCCTTGTTTCCCTTCAGTAACAATTCTGACAGATGTTCCAAAGACTGCGCAAAAGTCTTTTTCTTTGGTTGGCTAACAAGTGAAATGTTTGGGTTTTGAAGGCCAGTTCCACTGGTTGATGCAGTTGCACATCCAATGCTTGATTCACATTCATTCACCTTGCCTGTGTTGTTTCTGTTCTCAGTATCAAAAGAAGACTTGCTAACTACTCCACTGTCAGCAGAATTATTGGTGCTAGGCGAATTTCTTCTCATGATTTTGACACCTTTTCCTTTAGAGTCTTCTGAGCCTTGGCAAGGAGATATTTGAAGTGTACCATTGATTGTTTTCGAGTCCTGCTCTTTGCTGCTTACCCCTATAGCACGTCTCAGTTTCCTCTTCATACGGCTGAGGGAAAAAATTGCAGGCCTCTGACTTTCCCCATCTTTGTTAAAGCTATAATAAGATTGCATAGAGGAGCAAGAATAGATACCGTCGGAAGAATTTTGAAATCTTGGTGGGCCAGCTGTTAAAACTACTATTCTCTCTGCAAATTCAGAATCACTACTTTCCTGAGATAGGTAAAAATCAGAGGAATTTAAATTGTGAATGCCGGGAGGACCTTTAGATTGCCTTGCTTTACTTGTCCTACATTCAGAAATGTTCTCTTCACAGACAGATTTACTCTGATGTTTTCTTGTCTGAGATTCTCGGGGGTCCTCGATGTGTTTAACTATCAGAGAATTCGGGTCTTGTAGGAGTTCTACAAACAATTCTTTATTCGAATTCAAAATCTGCAACGCATCTGATAATTGTTTAGACTGGTGGTTCACCCCATCAATGAATTTCTGACTTATGATGGCATCCGCTGCATTCATCTGTACCGGCAGATGATTATTTTCATTAATCTGGCCATACTTAACGTAATCAATACTTTTACAGCCACATCCTCGTCGCTTTTTTCTATGCTCCTCCTTGCTTAATACTTCCGGCAATGCTGCTGAGCTGAGCTTATTTAAAGGTTTTTCCGCTGAAGTTGAATTAGAAGGTTTTCGATGCTTAGTGTCATTCTTCAGACCATGAAGAGGTATATCATGAGATCTCTGACGATTATTGCTGGTCTTTCCATTATTCTTTGGTAATGGACCAACAAATTTAGAATCAGATTGCAGATGTTTCACTTCATCAGCGGCAATGTTCTTATTCAACCGCAGCTCAGTGGACAACTCTTCCCCCTTAAGCTTTCTTTTACTTGCCATATCAGAATCAACTGTTTGAGTTTTGTTCTTCATTCCGTCCTGGAACAATTGAAGTTGCAAATCAGCTAATTTGCTTTAGCGTATACTATGTCAGCAGTCAGCTGTGTGAGAGAATATTAAAGAAAACAGAACAAAAAATGAAGGAAACTTTGTCAAACCATGAATGTTCTCAAACTCCGAAATTTTGTCTACCATTAATATTTCTCCCAGATGCTTTGAAGAGCCTATTAATATATCGGTTACATTTGTTTCTCTTGCATAGTACTCCCGTAATTGATCAAATAGCATATTGGCAATGTATATACACACACACACGCACAGAACTCAGAAGAGTCGAAACAGAAAAACTAGCAGACATCAGGAATCATAAGAATCGGTCCTTTGAACAAACATTCAGGTACGTGAAACCAAGTTTGATTGTAAAAGTAGACCGGTGGAACTTACATCCATGTTTTCGCACTTCTCATGTATTTTGTTAGGCAAATCAAGCTTGGTCCTTAAATTTCCATCATCTGCATACAAAGAAAAATTATGAATCTCTTCAGTACTGCAGGAAAAAATAAAAAATTCGGAGTATGTCTTATTCGGTACTTTTCGTTACTCAATAAGTCTATCACCAGTTTGCAAATGACCAACTGAAACCAGAAATAATTAAACAACGTTCAATTCACAGTTGTGCATGCGGTAATTTATAAAAATGTAGCAACCGGGTGAGTAAACAAAGTTCTTAGGAACTTGTATTTGTGATTATGCAATATGATTGAAAAATCCTTACCAATTCTCTTTAAATGCCTCCTGTGTGAAAGCAGCTTCTTATTCGAATGACCTTGACGAAAGTTAAAAAGGCCATATAAATGCCACATGCATCCTGTCTCGTACTTTTCGCAAACCATAGGGCTCTTTGGCATAGGGCTCTTCGGCATAGGACTTCTCGGCATAGGGCTTCTTGGCGATGCCATCCTTGCCATGATGAGTGAAATTGGGAGAGCTTGGCTATAGAAAATAACACCAAATTTACATCACCAAACTAGAGATTGTGCAAGGACGAACACCCAAGTATATAACATACAAGTTTTAGTCATTTCAAACCCAGTGACCCCAATAAGAATGCAGTTATTTTTCTCTTGGGTTGCATATAAACACACAAAGAATGACATGAACTTAACCAAGAAGAAATAGCATATAAACATATATATATATGTATGTATATATACATACATATACACACACACATAAATATGTTCGAAGTCGACAATTGCGGACCCTGATCTGATCTTCTATAAATATATGATTGTGATGTAGGTGCAGCCTGCACCAATAGTCTATGTTTGTGTCCTAAATTTTCTGTGTCCCACCATGTGAGTGTTTTTTCAACAATTCATAACAATAGGGATTTGTTTATTCAGAGATTAAAAAAAAAAAAAAAAAAATTTCAAATCCCCACGAACTCTTTTACCTTAAAATTTGAAACAAGTAAATAAATTTTCACTTTTTCAGCAGTTACATTAAAAATTAAGGAATAAAAACAGGAAAACGAGGAAATTCAAGTCAAAATATCTTCTACCATGTATTACCTCAATTCTTGCTAGCTAGCTGCCTCCAACTGTGATTAGCTCTTGATTAGCTAAAGTAGTAATTAAATTTTGTATAAACAGGTATCTTCTGTTTGTTTCTATGGAAAGTTTTTCCACTGAAATTCTTGTCCAGAAATCAAACCAAAAATATGACCATGTAACAAAAACTTGCATACCCAAGATTTCAAATTTCACAAATATCAAGTAAACTGAAGAAACTTAGACAGAGAGAGAGAGAGAGAGAGAGAGAGGGTACCTGAAAAAACTTGAGAAAAAAAAAATGGAAGCTTTATGCTTTTGGGCTGAGCAGAGAGCAACTATATATAAATTTCAAATCTTTAACATGAAACTGAATTAATGGCAAGAAGCCCAGAAAGAAAAATCTCAAATGGGAGGTGGAAAACCTTGAAGAATAAGAAGAATAATGGAAAATTAATGTAAAAAATATGGAAATAGAGATGAAAAATAAAAGCAAAGGATGTGAGAGATTTTATGGTGAAAGTGACTGGTGATTTGCAATTTGCATTGACAACGAGGATGAAGACTCGGGAGGAAAGCTTTCAACTGAAGAAAATATTAAGTTGCGTTGCTTTCCACTTCCCTCTCTCTCTCTCTCTCTCTCTCTCTCTCTCTCTCTCTCTGGCTTTCTGCATTTCCAACTTCAACCGTCATCCGACAGACTCATCACCTCCTCTCCTCCTATTTTTTTTGTTTTCATCAAGACTCTCTCTCTCTCTCTCTCTCTCTCTTCACGTTAAGCTAAAGAAAGATAAAAGATGTCTGTTTACGTGTTTGAATTTTATAATAAGATTTTTCTGCTATAAGCCTATAAATGCTTTGTTATATTTTATGATGTTAATGTTTACAAAAACAATGATATTGTTTACCCAAAAAAAAAAAACAATGATATTGTAAATAGACGGCCGTTGGACTTTTACAATGTTTTTTGGGGAGGTTCCACACTTCTTTTTACCTTCAAGATCTTATTTGTTAATTTTTGTCCTTTAATCTTTTTTATTTCATTTGATCTCTAAAAACCGAAATTGAGGTGTGTGTAGAAGGTTAAAGGGTGTTTGTGGATAGCAACACCATTTTCTTATATACAAGATATTTCACACTAAGGTCTCGTTTGATATAGAGGATTTAGGCTAGCTAAGCCACATAATAAGTCCGTTATAGTAATGTGATACCATACTTGCAATTCACAAAAGTTGAAACCAAACTTCTCGCTTATAAGTGATAAGAAATATCATTAAATCGTAATATTAGTGTCTATTTTATGAGACTTGCTAAATTAATGATAGAGGTTTCCTTCATTCTCGACAGGAAGAGGGTAATACTTTCATCGTACCTTATTGACGTGGCATCATTTTAATCTATAGTGTCATAATCAGGACTATTCATTCTTTTATTATCATAAAAATCAAATCTAGAAAGAAAAAAAATCATTCAATTTGTAGACTGTTTAGTAATCAATACGAATCAAAGAAATTGATAGTTTATCATTAAGATTCTACTTCATAATATAATTCTCGATATGTTCAACATGTATAGATGGGTAAACTGTATCCCAGTTGAATGAATTTTTCTAGAAACTATCTTTAAATAATGTTAAACAAAATAAACAATTTAGAATATCCTTATTGTATGACGAAACGATACCAAGTTAGTTTGTTTTTTTTCTTTTTTCTTTTTTTGACTTGTGCCCTCTCACCTGTCCAAATGATACCGTGCTAGTGGGGAAGAAGGAAATGAAATGAAAGAAGTATTCTCCTTGAATTATGATAATGGTTGATGGTAGCAAATTACACATGTTATATATCACGAAACTTATTAAATTAGTATTATTGGTGGTATTAACAAATTACTCGTCATATTCCATCAATTCAATAATTTTTGGATAATACTTGCATCCTTATGGAAGAATGAACATATTTAATTTTTAGTAAATAATGTACTTTTATAGCTTCTAAGTCGAACAATTAACACTTGCATCCCTGACTTGGAAGGATAAGATCACTCCTATTTGATATAAATTAGACTAAAAACAGTAAAGTTCTGTAAAATTGAAAACATTTACCAAACTATTGTTTCAGTTTATAAAAAAGTGAACAAAAATTGAAAACCAAATAGTTATTAAGAGAATCTTTAATTGGAGACCCTAATGTAGGGCCTCCACCATCACTTTTGATGACCACTTTAGGGTTTCCAAGAGAATATTCAAGTCCATAAAGAAATATTGGTTGTGACGGGGAGTCCTTATTGTTAACCTTTAAATTTATAGACTAAATTAGGGTCTCCATCACCACTTTTAACGATCATTTAAGGATTTCCAAGAGACTATTCGGATCCATAAAAGAATATTGGTTCTGATGGGGCAGTCCTTATGGTTGATCTTTAAATTTAGGGACTAAAGGTTTGAAAAAAAAAAATATCATTGTTAATAATAGCCGTTGATCTAAAAAATAAAAAATAGAACAATAACAAGAAGCTATAATAACTGTTGGTTATCAACTTTAAAACCCAAAAAAAAAAAAAAAAAAAAAAAAAAAAAAAAAAAAAAAAAAAAAGCATGTGTTGCGGGGCCGCTGAGGACGCTGCGTCACAAGTTATCCTCGAGTAATTGCTTTCCCGCGTCCATTCCAGCTTTGGTGTATACATCACTTGGTGGGGTATGTTTTCTCATAACAAAAACGATAGGGCTCCACCCTAATCAGTCCTTACCCAGTCCTAAGTATAAGGATTTTTTGAGGTCTCCGGCGAGATCCTATATATTAGAGTACTTTGAGGACTCTTTTTTAGCATATTGGAGGCATTATGGTCCCTATAGATGAATTCTAACTTCGGATGATCCTAATTAAGAGACGTTAGGTGCTAGTTTGCAAGCGGGTTGGAGCACCTATGTGCCCAAACAGGATTTAGGCAAAGGCCTAGGTGGACTAGGTAGATTTAAGTAAACTTATTGTGTATCATTACAAGTAAGTGCCTTTTTACACTTACAAATAAATATACTTGCATTGAAGATTTGAGGTTTATTATTTAACTAGGTTCATAATTCAACTTATAACACACAAAAATATTAGAATTTTTGTTTTAGTATTTTATGAATTTGATAGTATGAGAGTAAAGTGCAAGTGACTACGAATTCATAATACTTTACGAAATACTTTTCAGATGTCGTATGAATTTATAGGGAATTTTTGTACAAGTTAACATTGTCAAACATATGGTATACAAATATTGGTTGAGATATAACATCCGTTTGCTAATTAAAATGCTAGAGAGGCATAACTTGATTGGACAATGATTTTAAAAAAAATGAGAGTTGGTCAAGTAGGAAATGGAGAGAAAAAGTTTTTATTCTTCGTTGTAACCAATTTCCAAAAATAGCAGAGTCATAGTGGTCTTCTTTCTTCCATTACATCTTCACACCGTTACATGGTCCTTGAAGATTTTAACAGACGCTTCTTCGGACATCCGGATGACCATGGGATGACGTTTAATTAAGAACTATATTGGAGATGCTCTAACCGACCTCTAAACCCTCAAATCAGTTTTTACCCCTAGGAGGAGGATAAACGTATGAACAAAAAGAAAAGCTGCATTTTACATTGTGACGATGGAGACTTGTGGGATCATGAAATAGGGTGCGTTTTCGGATTTAGTGGGAGAGTTGTCGTCATTGGTGACAAAACACTGATATTGTCAATCTAATGATGTGATTCTGAAGGAAGCAAGCAGCCAATCCATGTATAGTTGATTGGTTGATCAGAAAACTTTTTAAAAAATTTGTCTGTTCTTACTCCCGATGTTTGAATTTCTTGTCTCAGCTTTTCAAATTTTGACCTCCATGATTTCACCTCACCGCCATGGATTCTGGATGCCTGGACGCCTGGACAGTGGATTATGAAATGGTTGCCAAAGATCTAAAACATAGAATATATCCAACCTTATTATATAAACATATAATTTATATGTACATGTTACAATAACTCCATGATTAAGTTGGAAGTCAATGCAACGATTCTTCCAATGCGTATGCAAATATATATACATACACATATATATGAGTAATGCTAAAGGATTAAATTTATAGACAAAGTTTTGAAAACTAAAAAACATGGAAGTTGATGATTGATTTATCACTTACATGTTGATAAATATCTTATTCTTATTAGTGACACATTATTTAGTTTACAAATTTAATTTTCAAATTGGATCTCTATAACACTACCTTATATGTATATACACGCTTATGCGTGCAAACTACTCTTGGCGTCGCATGCGATGGGTCGCTCAAGATTCCACTTGGGACCGCAAGCACCAACAGCCACGTGGCTATAACAAGTTTGCAAAAACAAGGAGGCTTAAATTTTTGAGCAAATTATTGTTCCTAGTGCACCGAAAGTCTACTAGCTAATTTAGCATTGGATAATATTATTTTAAACTAAATTTGTAAATCAAATGATGTGTCACCGCATGTTAATCGATATTTAATTAATAATCGAATCATCTACTATCACATCATTTGGTTTAAAAAATTTATTCTCCCTAACATTACCCTTTTATACACATTGTTGATTTCCTTCCTTACAATTTAAGTTTTTGGCGCGGTTTAACATGATATTAGAGTTTTGGTTTGATTGAGTAGTCATGCGTTCAAAGCTTCCAACTTTCATTTTTACGGATATTATATCTTTGGATGATGATAAAGAAAATCAACAGTTTTGATCTTATAAATAAGGGAACTTTAATGAAAAGTTTATGGTACTGTTCATTTTAACGAAAAACCATATTTTTACATTAAAAAGTAAATCATGGTACTATTCACTTCTTTATTTTGTCATTATCTTCAAAACTCAAAGTTTTCAAGCCCTTTTCATTAGTTTTCTTTATAAATAATCATTCGAATCGAAGATCGTTTAGTCATCTGAATGTATCAAACAAATCAACAATTCTCATGAATATGCTACTTGGTACTTACACTGTTAATTTATCTTAATGTATTTGAATAACTAAACAGTTTCCAACTCGCATTATTTTTTGTAAAGGTAATCTTCAAATGGAGAATAAGAGATTGAGTGATTCTAATTATGAAATTTTTATGATGAAAATACGTTATTTGCAAGTTAAGGCATGAGCTCATCCCTCCAATGGAGGAATATAAGTATTATCCGTTTAAAAATACATTGTTCACTTACTTGTATGAGATTGCCTCTCTAAAAAGCAATTATCTTACTTGTATGAGATTGCTTCTCTGGAAAGCAATTATGCTCATAAAGAATTTTTTTTTTAATTAAAAATCTTCTTGAAAAGAAAAGGGGCATTTTGATTTTCAAGTCCAAAAAATAGGATAAGTTTATAAAAAAACATTTTGAAAGGTAGATAACAAAATTAAAAACTTATGATGTAGACAATATAAGGGGCATTTAGATTCAGGTCTGAAAAATTCAACTGCATTTAGATTGAATCTAGTTCTATGTTCTTACTAGTTTAGGTCAATTGATCGTTTTTATTCTCATCTTACCCTTTATAGTAAAAATCAAAATACAAGTAAATTTTTTAACTTATGCATCATTTACTCAAATTTAGATTTCAAAATTTGAATCTTCATATTCCTTCAATATACCCACTATTTAAGAAAAAAAAAATTAAAAAGTACGAACAAAAGCCTGTGATAATACGCATTTATTATATTTTTGTAAATTGATATTGTGGGTCTACTTCCTGCAATTAAACATGCCTGTGTGTGTCTTATCCAAATGGACCATGCCCCCTCTAATGCCATGCAACATACGTCAATCTTGAAAATTGAAAAATTTTAAAAATGACTAACCACTAACAACTTAGAGTTTTTTCTCCGTCTGAGAGTCTTTCTCACATTCTGATGTGAGTCTTCACAAATCACGAAAATCCGGTGGCGCCGACCCTAACCGTGGCTAGGGTCGGTCGCGGTTTCCTCCCTTCTTTTTTCCTTTCCTTTGTTTTTTGTTTCTACTACTCTCTCCCCCTGCTTTCAACCCAAATCTATTCTATCCCTCTTACCTAGTTTGTGCCCCTCTTCTGTGTTCATCTTTATTCCGGTTTTCAGCAATGAATATCGTGGAGATCATGTGTAGAGCTCCGGTGGTTTTTCCAGCTCGAGTGTTTCTAACACCACCAACTTCTCCAACTTATCTGTCTTTTGCGGCAGCATTGTTCATGGGTTTCCATGGACTTCATCCTGATAGTTGCCTTCCGTTGTGTTGTTGTTGGCTATCCGTTCCTTGTGGTTGTGCTCGTGTAGCAGATCGGGGTAGGGTGCTGCGTTTGAAGAGGAGATACTCGGCTGGGGATGAGGGATTGGACGGATTTTGGTTGCTGCAACGGGGATGGTTGCAGTGGATGTTTCTAGTGTTCTTAAAGTTATCTGTGTGTTTGGGTTGCAACAATTGGTTGGCCCGTTGTACTTTGTTCTGTCTTGGCCCACTTTTTGCTTGTTCATGTATCTGTTTTGAGCCCTGTGTTGTTTGCTTGTTTGGTTTGTAATAAAAGTTGCACTTTGACCCCCAAAAAAAAAAAATCATGAAAATTGAAAACGATACAGATCTACGTAGGCTTGTATTTGTGTATATATATTAAAACCATAACATATTGTGTGAGAATAACCAAATAATTAAGACAGATAAGAGTTGGACTGGAATATTTCGACATATAGACAAATATGCTTTAGTTTAGTATCCTTGTAGCAATTTTTTGGTACGAAACTCTAAGCTCATGACAAGGATCACAAGAACATGGAGCATGGAGTGGGTTTTTTTTTTTGGGGGTAATTCCAGAATTTTTCTTTTAACATCGAGACTTTTGACATCTAGAATAACTTGCTATTTTGCTCATTCCTTCCGACTCTACATTTTTTTTTACCAAGGTTTAGCTATTATAATGAGTGTGAGGATAAGTGCTCTGCTATAGAAGTTATGCAAACCCGTCACTAGCTATGTTTGCAATAAATTTGGGATGCTGTTTTGGTTTAAAATTTGATCAGTCTCTCATTTTCTTAGTATCTAGCATCCAAAAAAGTTGTGGTTAAGCTAAAAAATAAAAGTTTAAAGGAACATTTATCTCCACTACAATTAGACTAAGATCGAATGGTAGGTGTCATGTGATCATAATTTTCTTGGACCCTAAAACCCAGGAGGGTGAGACTCAAAATTTAATGGCTAAAATGCTCTATAATGGGGCTGAAGCTGTTGTCGTGGAGGCTTCTTCTCATGGGTTAAAGTTAACCCCCTTTTCTTTTCTTTTTTTTTTCTTTTTTTGTTTTTTGTTTGGAAACTTCATAAAGTTAACTTTGACATGGTTGTTTTCACAAATTTGACGAGACAGTTGACTGTCGAGGGAAATTTATAGTCTAGGAACAAGTTTCTTCCAACACATTTCATCACTACTAAAAAAGAATAGGTTTTATCACTTCAGTTCAGACCAATTCAATATTAATAAAGAATCTCTTAATTACTATCTCTTGTAACAGATGTCTAAACAAACGTAATGTCAGGGATGGTTGTTTGTTTACGTTTGTTTAGTTTTGTAGCTGCACTTAAAATAAATCCCAAATTACGTGTATGAATCTAAAATAATCTCAAAAATCTTAAAGACGACACGTGAATTTTTTATTTTTTTTTCTTCTAAAGAATACAATATTGCTCTCATTAAATGGGTTGGGCACACAAATCTTCCCACGCCCAGTTCAACATACCTGGAGGTCAAAGCAGCTAACTCTGCCTCCTTAAAGTTCCCTTGCTCGTGGCATGGAAAAGTTAAAGGCATTAAAGATATAATTCATCACCAATTCATATCTTTACTACATTCTCAATTGAAGATCAACTCAAACAAGTAAGGAATCTTTATCACAATCAATTGAGGATGCTTTCATCATCATCTCAAGATATCATCTTCTAATTAATATCTTGGGATAATTATTTCCTCATCCATCCTACGGATGATATAAACTTGGCCAATAGGAAACAACCATGTGTACGACAAAACCCTACACCTAGGCTGGCCACCTCCCTATAAATACTTCATCTCCATCAATTTTTGGTAAGTTGTTGCTACACATACAGACCCTAAACACTCACTATTTTCAAAGTTACGGACTTAGACATCGAAGATCCTTTGGTCAAACCCATCCGCCACCTCTCGGGCGTGTGTGGCTTTGGCCTTAATTGAAAGTGTTTCTTGTTTTGTTGGTACAAATTCGTCAAGACCGAAGACGGTGAATTCTTGTTACCACAAAAATGGTGTTTTCATTGAGAGCTTGATTCAAACGCTCGAAGAAGGCTCTCGCATTTGCATTTCAAAATTTTCCGTTACATACATAAAATCTCCACACCTTCCTAAGTTTATTTTATAAGTTCTTTGAATAGCCCTAGGGAAACAATAAAATGGCGAGAAATTCCAAAACCACGATGAATGAAACATTCTACGTTGAAGAATATGGACCAGATGATGGAGATCGCGACGTGGCCTTACGCCGTCACTCCTCGAGGCTCAACATGGCGACTGGAGTTTCACTACCACTACAGGACACCACCATGGCCATAGCAGCACCGACATCAGCCACTGCAATGGCCCACGGTGCACCCCTAGGCCACGATAAAAAAGTTGTAGAGCAGCGACAAGCCCAAGGTGCAACCCTATGCAAGGCCCAAGGCATTCTTGTCCCAGCCGTTATGTAGGAAGCACCCAATCTAATCCCTGTAGCAGTCAAGGCCCAAACCTAGCGCAACCCAAAGCCAGGTGGGTCACACCGACAAGGTCAAGCGCCTATGGCCCCAGATTGTGACCCGACCTGTTCTAGTTGCCTAGTACGTTCTCTCGGCCCAACTTTCATCCTAGACCAATTCAACGATCCGACTCTAGGTTTCCAGACCGATCCAGGCCCAAGCAAGACTGGCCGGACAGATTGTCGAACGACAATTGAACCGTGGGTATTTTAGTTCCATTTTCCCTATATTTGACTCGTCTCGGCGCAAATTTTGCACCCGAAGTCATTATACTTCCACTACTTATGGAGATGCCTACCCTTCAATCTCTTTTGCCCTAAATGGTGAACACCTATTTCAGTAGGTTGCATATTTGACAAGCACATTCGAGCAACAAACGACCTTGGTGAATAAGCTCTTGGAGCACATTGAGACTCAACACACTACTGATGAGATATCACGAAGCAAGATGAGGGCAGGTGACGACGTTTCTTTCCAGCAGCTTCCAAGTAAGCAGCTACTTAACTAGCCATTAACCTATCATTCCGGCAATGTGCATTCTCGCTTGGGCCCTTAGGGTAATGGTTTCTCTCACCTTAGCATCCAAAGAAGAGTTCACTCTCGACTAGGTCCATAGGCAAGTATGCATTCACGGTTAGCCCCACACTTTGATAAGCGCATTCATGGTTGGGCTCACACTCTGACAGGCATTCCAGACCCAATTCTAGATGAAGAGTCCATTCACGGCTTGAACCGCAAGAAGTATCCTCCACCTCACATCGGAATAGGCAATAATTCATGGCAATTATTGTAAAGAAGAAAGGTGAAGAGAAAATGGGATTGTGAGAAAATACTTTCTTAAAAAAGTGATTTTGTAGTTTGACATAAATCTCCCCAATAAATAATTTTTGTTTAATATTAAGGGAAAAATTGGAAAAATAAGAACATAATTGAAAATTGTGAAATGATGTTGACAAAAGCTCTTTTCTTAATAAATAGCAAGTATAGATAGATAATTACAATAAATTATATCCATAATAATAAAATTATTATAGAGGGTTGATTTTCACTCATCCTCCTTAGTCTTTCACACATTTCTCTTCATTATTGGTCGTGAAATTAAATAAATCAAACCAAAAGTCAAAAAATTAAATAAAAATGTGTAAGAAGCTAACATAGATGTGGGTTTATCATCTTTAAAAATAGAGTGGGTCTATTCACCCATTACTTTTTACGTTTTACTACCCGTTACATTTTTCGACAGTTGGATCAAATAAATTAAAAATAATCAAATAATAGAAATTAACTCATTTAGATGTGTAGATATAATCGTCCTAAAAACATGTCTAACTCATTATGGTGCACTTTGGCCCAAACACTTCGCCAAGCCCAAAAACTAAAATCCAAAAGAAAACAAAAACCGCGAAAAGAAAACCCGCCGCTCGCCACGTCAGCACTAAACCCCCTATCCCCTTCCCCATCGCCAAAACCTCTCCCTCTCTCTCATCAGTCTCTGCAACCTCAATCTCTCTCATGGCCTTCACTTTCCTCTCAATCCCCCACTTTCTCTCTCCTCAACCCCACTTTCTCTCTCTAAGACCCAATTTCACCTCCCTCAAACCCTCAATTCCCTCCCTTTCCACCCGGCCGATTAAGCCCACCCACGCAATCGGGCCGGACGGCAAATACTACCCGGACCCGGCCGACGACGACCCGCCGGAAGCCCCGGAAGACTCGGGCCACGGAGTGTCCAAGTTCCAGCAAATCCAGCGGCAGGCCTCGCGGCACCGCAAGCTCCAAGAGGAAGACTACTTAAAGCACCAGGACACCTTCCTCAACGCCATTGCTGACGTGGAGGACGCGCCGGAGAATCCCAATTCCGTAGTCAACGACAACTCCGGGGACGATTTGTTTGGCGACATCGACCAGGCGATTGCCTTGAAACGCAAGGAGTTTGTGAAGCAGGGGCTTCTGAAGCCAAACCCTAAGAAAGAGATTGTGGCGGTTGACGAATTGGACCCTGAGGAGGTAGTGGATTTGGAGGAGATTGAGGAGCTTCAGGGGATTAGGGTTGTTGGCGAGGACGAAGAGGAAGACGGGCCGGAGAAATTCGATCCCAAGGTCAGTGATTTGGATGGTAAAGATGGGATTTTGCGTTTGAATTCTGAATTTGATTTGGATTTTGATAATTATGGTAAAACTAGGGCTAGGATTGTGGAACCTAAGTTTAAAATGAGCTTGGCTGAGCTTTTGGATGAGAGTAAAGTGGTACCCGTGTCGGTTTATGGTGACTTAGAGGTTGAGATTACAGGAATTCAACACGATTCGAGGGTGGTTAATGCCGGTGATTTGTTTGTGTGCTGTGTTGGGAGCAAGACCGACGGGCATTTGTATTTGAGTGAGGCTATTAAGAGAGGTGCGGTGGCTGTTGTAGCGAGTAAAGAGATATACATGGAGGAAAGTCTGGGGTGTAAGGCATTGGTCATTGTGGAAGATACAAATGCGGATTTACCTGCATTGGCTGCGTCGTTTTATCGGTACCCGTCGAAGAATATGGCGGTGATTGGGATAACGGGAACAAATGGGAAGACCACAACTGCATATTTGATAAAGGGTATGTATGAAGCGATGGGATTGAGGACCGGTATGTTGAGTACAGTTGCATATTACGTGCATGGGGATAATAAGTTGGAGTCACCTAACACGACCCCGGATGCTGTTTTGGTTCAAAATTTGATGGCTAAGATGCTCCATAATGGGGCTGAAGCCGTTGTCATGGAGGCTTCTTCTCATGGTCTTGCTCTATCCAGGTGCGATGAAGTTGACTTTGACATAGCAGTTTTCACAAATTTAACGAGAGACCATCTGGATTTTCACAAGACTGAGGAGGAGTATAGGGATGCAAAGGCTAAGTTGTTTTCAAGGATGGTGGATCCGGAACGGCACAGGAAAGTTGTGAACATTGATGATCCGAATGCAACCTTCTTTATTGCACAAGGCAACCCAGATGTTCCAGTTGTGACCTTTGCCATGGAGAATACGAATGCAGACGTTCACCCCTTGAAGTTTGAACTTTCCTTGTTTGAGACACAGGTTTTAGTCAATACTCCAAATGGTATATTGGAGATATCATCAGGCTTACTTGGAAGACATAATATATACAATATACTGGCTGCTGTGGCTGTTGGGATTGCAGTCGGAGCACCATTGGAGGATATCGTTAGAGGAATTGAAGAGGTTGATGCAGTTCCAGGGAGGTGTGAATTAATAGATGAGGAACAGGCCTTTGGAGTAATTGTGGACTATGCTCATACTCCTGATGCCTTGTCTAGGCTATTGGATTCTGTAAGGGAGCTTGGTTCAAGGAGGATTATTACTGGTATGCTTCTTATGTCTCGTTTTGTGTATTTTCACATCTGAAATTAGCATAACTGTTTAACTGCAGGCTTGCAATATGTATACAACTTCTCTGCCCACGTCAAAACTGCAATATTGCTAATAAAAAGTAGTAATGTCTAGGTTGAGTAAATTGTAGGGTTGAAACCATTTTGTAAGAAGGCTATTCTTATTCATGTTCTGTGTTTAAGAGTCTTTTTATCATAATTTTTTTTCCCATGATGACCAATTATGGAGCACTAATAATAAAATATTTATGCGAAAAAATGTAGTTGTTCTTTCTTTGCTGACCAATTATTTGTGCTTTATGTGAAGTAATTGGTTGTCCTGGAGAGAGTGACAGAGGGAAAAGACCCATGATGACGAAGATTGCAACAGATAAAAGTGACGTGACCATACTGACGTCTGACAATCCAAAGAATGAAGATCCATGTATGTATAGCAAACCTCAACACTGATTTTTTATTTGTTTGCTATTATTGACGTTGTAAAATGTTACTCGACTTAAAAAAAAATCCATCGATGGGGTAACTTCTATAATGTTTGTGTGACTCTAAATTTAGCTGTGGCCGGTCTCTCTAGAAATGCTATTGTTTAATGCTTATTGTTCTCTTGTATTATCAAGTCTTGGTGTCCTAAAGCTTACGCTTGTCATTTGTTTCAGTGGACATCTTGGATGATATGTTGGCTGGTGTAGGATGGACAATGCAAGATTACTTAAAACACGGGGAGAACGATTACTACCCACCTCTTGCAAATGGTCATAGGCTTTTCCTTCATGATATTAGACGAGTAGCTGTACGTTGTGCTGTTGCCATGGGCGAGGAAGGTGATATGGTTGTAAGTTTATGAAGCCCCAAATCTCTTCCATATGCAAGATTTATGCATATACAGGAAAAAAGTCACAATATGGCTATCCACTCTCTCAAAAGATTTAATTAGTATCATTTTTTGCTTCTATGTATATTATTGCTTATGCGTAGAGTTCAATGGTACCCTGCATCTAGTCATTTCAAATCACAAACGCAACCCCTCAAAATTGGCAATTATTTTACTTTTGTCTTCTAAGAAAAATAAAAGAATTAGTATGTATTTTGGTTTTGCAAGATGATGAAGTGGTATTCCTTAAAAGATTCTGAGAGAACGCTGGTGGTGAAAACTAACAAAGAAGCTTAAAGGTTTTGAAAAAGAAATAAGTTTGTACGTTTGCAAACAAATTATGATTACTCTAGCCACTATAATATAGATTTTCCGTGTGAGATGAATTACAAAATATGGGTACCCTCCCTGGAATTGTTTTCCAGTTGTCATGACTCTCCTTGTTGCTCTTTTTAAGATTATGTTGCATTACTGCAGGTGGTTGCTGGCAAAGGGCATGAAGCATATCAGATCGAAGGTGACAAAAAAGAGTTCTTTGATGACCGGGAAGAGTGCCGAGAGGCATTACAGTACGTTGATGAGCTTCACCAAGCTGGAATAGACACAAGTGAATTTCCATGGAGGTAGGTTAACTGACAGTAATTTTGCATTTACTTGGGGTATCTCTGTTTCTTAGCATCTCCAGAAGACCTAACAATCCCTATGAGGGAAAAAATGGCTTGAAAAACAGCATTTCTATTTATGATTGATTTTTCTCTTTTATCCTGTTTAAAGAAAAGCTACATGCAATTGTTCTAGATCTTGCAGGTGAGGAATCATCGCTATGTGTGCGCAAAGTAATCATTGTTTTCGTTGATCTGATGCAGGTTACCTGAAAGTCATTGATCTTTTATAAAAGGAGTACATTTTGCTAAGGCGAACGGAAGTATACTTCCACGTTGTTTTGACGTACAATAGGAGATACTTTATCTAGAATGCATGTGACCAAGTGTGTATCAACCTTTGTCTGGTCAAGTCAACGATATACATTATATGCGAAGGCAGTCGATAACAGCTTCTTGGTTACTAAGACTGGTATACATTCAACTTACTAATTGACGTTTATTTCTTGGTTACTAAGACTGGTATACATTCAACTTACTAAGGCTGATATATATATATCTTAACATTTTCTTCACGTATGCAGGTTGGTGAGGAGTTGGTCTTTTGAGGCAGTGTTGTTTTGGAGAAAGCTGAAAAATTTTAACCCTAGAAAGGTTATTAGGTGACACAATTTTTGTAAGGCTATGCTTGTGTAGAATGTAGAATGTACTCGTAGCTGAGATCCTGGATTTGCCAATGTCACAATTTAAATTAACCCAATTGATTGGTCCTGTTAGCTCTCTCTCTCTCTCTCTCTCATCAGTGTTAATTTTAATTTTTTAGTACAAGTGATATTCTACGCGAAGTATTGTTAAATTTTAATTTAATGCGTCAAATACAATCATGGTCACCCCCTTTTAAATTTCTTTTCCAACGAGTATATTTTCTACCAAAAATGAAAATATATTTCCAAGTTTGTCATTCAAATTTACTGTTCTATTGAAATTAAGAAAATAGACAACTATGTAGAAACGAACCATAAAAATTTCTTCTAAAGTTTAATGGGGAAAAATATATATTATAACTTTTTTCTGCATAACAATATTCTATTTTAAATTATTCCAATCTTATGAAAAGGAATTGAACTTGAGTAAGCGAGGTGGTCACACTGTCATAATTAACTAGCATAATTTACATTTGTGTTATAACTTTATGTGAGAAAAACCCGAAAAAGGAAAAATAAAATAAAATAACTCCCAAAATAAGAGAGGGAGGGCCGGAAGAAAAGGCAAGATATATAAAATCTTGGCAAGGCAAACTTTTCTTGGCATCATAAAATGGGGGGAGGAGGTTTGGTGGAAACAGATAACAAGCATTAGTGTCGTGAATTTGGGTGCAGAATATCATTAACTCTTTTACCTATCAAGGCCATATGCTTTTTATACTACTAAAATAAAGCTTTAGATTAAACCAAATAATACGTCAACAATCATAACTCGCAATTTACGAAAGGAATATGTAACGCTAATCACAATCCCAATTCAAGTCAAAAGTTTAAGTGCACACGGTTTATGTGGTGACAAAAAATACATTAATATTTATTACACCCAAAGCCACATACATTTTTACTTTCCTTTTGGAGAGAGCCGGATATATATTCTGAATTTCTGATGCAAAAACAAAAAGCTAATGCTGAACCACCTGGAGAGCTGTCTGAGTTTGAGCAGAGGAACTTCATTGTCTCATCAGATTCTCATCCACTGATGTTATGGTATGAAAATTTCCATCCCACAAATGAAGAAAAAAATGAATAAAAATTTATATATTCTGTAGGTATTTGTATGTTGCTCTTGATAATTCCTCCACTTTTTGATGCCAAATTTTCAAGCTTTTTATGATCATGTTTCTGGGTTTCTGAATTTATACATGGATGTTGTGACAGTTAAAACCTGCATATATATATATATATATATTGCTAATAACTATACGAACTGTTAGCGTTTTGTGTCAAAAAGGTGGCTTATTGTGCTAGTATTTCTGGGCTGTTATAACTTCTGGTGTTACAAGATTTACAGAGCTCTTAATTTTTAATTTTGTTCTTGATTATTTGCTTAAGTTTGGGACTTTGTCGAAGTTGGGGGCTTGGGTTTGTAGGAGTTGAATTTCAATTTTCCCTGTAGCGCTAGACTGACTGATCGAGTCACTCTGGTGTTCTTATCAAGGTCACATTGTGTTGCGTTTGTATGTTGTTCAAAGTTACTGAATCTAGTAATCCATTTCTGTTCTTAAACCAATCAACGTTTCCGCTACGAAATTCGTGGACTACATTTGGTTTTCAATCATGTGGTTGTCTTTGTCAGTGTTTAATTGTTATTTCCTGTTATTAAAGAAGATGAATACTATACTCGATTTGTTATCCCATTTGTTCATTCAACTTGACCCTTTGTTTCTTATTTCCACGTAGGCTTGAGCAAAGAAATCAACAGAAGATGCCAGATAAATTGCGGTTCTAGCTACCGGTGTTTTCAAGCAAACTTCTTTCTTAGAGCAAGTGCAGTATTCAGAGTTGTATGATAGCAAATCAGTAAAGCTCTGACGTCGTCTAGCTTTGGGATGGGTGATGAGGTTAAACAGCAAAGGTGGGAGTTCAGGAGGAAGGACAACGACAATGATTCTTCAAGTGACGATTCTAAATCAAGTAGTGAGGCGGCTCACGAGAAGCGTAAACTGGTTTCCGGTTTGATTTCACTTGAAAACGATGAAGCAGTCGATAACTGCAGAGCTCAGCAAACTGGCATGTTCATTCCTTGTGGGGAAGATCAAAACATGTCAAAGAAAGCCAAAAGGGTGCACCTTAGGAGTAAGAAGAATAGTAGAAAAAAGAGTAAAACTGGCGTTTACAATTCTGCTGCTGCTTTGGATGAACTTAAAATCTTCAAGGAGTCCCTATTAGAGAATCTTAAAGTGACGAGAGAAAATTTTCTTTCATGGATGAGGAAGGAAATGCAAAAACTGGTGGATGATGATGCCGCCCCGCGACTTGAACGGAGAGAAGGAAGTTCTGGAGGGAAAAATGTTCAAGTACAACATGGAAATGACTTTGAGAAGAACACCATCTATAAAGAGAACATACAGGTGAATAACGAAAGAAAAAATGAGGATAACATTCAGCATCAAAACAACTTTGGGAAGAATGTCCCAGTGCATCGAGAAAGCAACTCTAAGGAGAATGTATTTGCACACCATCACAACAATGTGAAGGAGACGGTCCAAGTGCAACATCTGGATGAAAAAGTAAAATTTCAAGTGAACTATCGGAACAACTTTGAGTTCGGCACAAAACCTCGACAATGCGATATTGAATCTTTAGGGAGGAGTGTTAAAAGCAATACAGCAGCTGGTTCTGATAATTTGTATCATGTTAAGCCAAATTTTCAATCCTATTCCACAGACAAGAACGTCCTGATGCAGCATCCCAGTCAAGTACCTTCTTCGATGTATTTGACATTGCCCACCGTGTTAACTAAGCCACGCGGTGAGAACTATACGCTCAGTACTTCATCAAGCAATTATATTGGAACACCATTTGACATAAACAAACTAGATGTGAACTCTGTGATGGTAAATCCAATGCTCAAAGTAAAGTGTGGAAAATTATCCGGCATGCAGCAGCTCGAAAGGGATGGAAGCTTTCCTCAAATAAGGTCGAGAAATGCGAATTGTTTTGATAAACAACGCATCCCAAGTTCAAGCATTGGAAATGGATTCCCAGTTCCATTTCATCAGGGTGATGATATCGGTCTTAGCATTCCGAGCCAAGTAAGTTCCGAATACTTGCCCCGGGAAGAAAAGAACATAATGGGTTTAAAGATGGAAGGAGGAGCTTCAAGCTTCTTCGGCGGAAGCTATACTAAATCAGAAGACTATTTCGCAAACAATGTCTACCGACACTCCATGAGTAAAGCTCATGGTACACACAAGGCATTTCAAAACAAAGACCTTGAAGAGGGCTATTTGTTCCCAAAGTAGTAACAGTTGCAACATGGTTGAACAGTGGACCGGATTCGAACTTCTGCAGAAAGCACTTTCTGTATTTAACTTTTCCAAAGCCGGCAACAATTGAACTAAACTTCTACTGCCCTTCAAATTTCTTTAATTCTAGAGGAGGTACTTTCCTGTGATATGCTTTGAAAATTTTGCTTCTGCACCCAATTTGTCTGTTGGAAAGAACAAACTGCGGTTGTTTAGAGAATTCTGGATAACATTTTGTTTTCTTGATTTGGATATGATTTGGGGTCTGTTGATTTTGTTCTATGAATGTTTAAATTTTCTCTAACATCATCAAATTCTCATTTGCCTAGCAAAATCTTAGTTCTCTGACACTAACAAAGATACGAACAGAACAAAACAAATAAGTTTTTGGCACAATTTTTTATCTTCTACACTCTTTAGTAGGTGAAAAATGTTGTGTCCAATTCACTTCGCAGAAAATAAATATTCACTTCAACCTCGCTACCACCGAGTTGTCTTTTTGCTTAGTAGAGTTACTAACCGCCCCCACATTAAGATTGAAATCCACTTGTGCTCATAAGTACATTTGCTGAAAGTGCTTTTAAAATACTGCCAAACATGCCATGTAAACCAATAGAAATGGAAAAAAAATGTATACACAAACAAATTATAAATTATGAGAAGGACAAGCTGAGAGACAAAAACGTGATGCTCCTGCAAAACCATTTTCTGTTAGATATGTGGGGTCAAGGAATAGCATAGAGGTATATGGAAACGTAATCCTCAACCTGTTTCAACTTTTCTGTTTTGTTTGATTTGTAAATTACGATTTTTATATTAATAGTGAATTCGTCATTCACATGATTTGAACTTAAATCTCTCATCTACAAGTAAAAATAAATATTATTCGACTACAATATCATATGACATTCGTAATTTATAACTTTGTTTTTATTGTTTTATTAGCGTACTAACTTACGTTAATTTCTATCTATGGAGTCATGGACATTGCCACATGCAAGTCGAACAACAAACCAACAGAATGCCTTGTGGGAACACGTTTATGTTGGCAAAGACAAGAAATCTATATCTGTCTTTTGGTTTTACCAACATGAATGTGCTTCATCTCCAAAAGGATATTTGTAGTATGCTTTGACAAAATTTGCAAATTTGCAAATGATTACTAATTCATAGAGTCGATTCTTATAAATGTCATCCTCGAAACAGCTAATCAATTAATCAAGAGAGAAAAGATAGATAAGATCTTGTCACATTGATATAGTGTGAGCTAAAGATAATTTAATGCTTAAATTAGATATTGAATCATCTCTTATGATCGAACTGCGAACTATTTCTCCATTATAACTTGTAACGTTTAATCGTTGTTAGGCATGGTTAAGCGTCTTGATAGGCTAGCCTGGCAACGAAGGCTTCCTCTGGTGGCCTATACAACGAGATCTAAACTGCCTCATTACATGGGATCGAAATGAAGATGTAAAAAATTGAACTTTGAACTTCTTTCAACAATGAAACGAAAAATATTACTAAAATAATAACTGGCCCACTAAACAGCTGTTTTTGATGTCAAGAAGTCCAATTATACGAGGAATTATTTCTAAGTGACGGGAACACCATGACATATGGTGTTCCCTCACACATGGTGATTTGACATCTTAGATATCCTTCAATTTTATATTTCAATAAATATAAAAAACTAAATCCTAATGTGTGAGGAACCCGTCATTTAGAAAAATTTCTCCAATTATACGTCACTCTGCACCAGAACACACAGTAGATCCAAACACTTTCAATTTTCAATTTATTAATACTTTTTTTTTTTAGCTAATATTTTACTTCCTTGATTCCTTCTTCTGGTAACAATCCCAAAAACCAAAAACAAAGCCCCTTTCTCTCTCTCTCTATCTTTCTTCGATGTCTACAATCTCTGCAAATCTGTGATGCAGAGGAGGAAGAACCAAAAGGGTTGTTCTTGAAAGATCGCCGGAAGGGGTTGAAGAACTGATGGATTTGCAGAGGCTTTGTGGGTTGGTTTTTGTTTCAGCTTTGACTGTTATACTGGTCGGTAATCCGAGCTCTGTCACTGCCGGGGATATAGTGCACGATGACGATTCTGCTCCGAAGAAGCCCGGGTGCGAGAACAATTTCGTTTTGGTAATCTAATGCTGCTTTTTCTCTTCAACCCTTTTAGGATTTTTTTTTTTTTGTTTTGTTTTGGATTATGAGTTTTGCTTTTTATGTTCATGGGTTTTGTGTAAAATTGGTTCATTTGTATATTTATCCGATTAGAAGTTCCCATCTTTGGTTAATTTGGAGCTGTTAATTTACCCCCATGAAGTTAAAAGTATTGAATTTTCTTTGTTTAGGTTCTTTTTGGATTGGAATTGGGTGGTTGTTGTTGTTTGATTTTACTGAAATTGATACGAACAACATGAGTTACTGTTCAGTAAGTTTCTATATCCTCCCCGTTTCGGCATCCTGCTCATACTTATATATTTCCTTCTATTTTTTCTCCTGGCCTTCGAAATGTTGCCCTTTTAGGAGTTTGGGTAGGATGCTTATTGTTTTCCTCTATTAAGTTGAACTTTGGTAATTAATTTGAATCTGTACTTAATATTTTGTACTATCTCGTGATTATAAAGAACTGGCAATGGTAATGGTATTTAAGCTATGAATTTTTCGGGGACGGAGACATTATGGATGGATAAACTCTCCGTTCTTTTGGGTTTTGGCTCATAATGATGTTTCCTTTTCTATTTGTTTTTTATTTATATTTCGTTTCCTGTTTTAAATTGATAGTGAAATATGTAGACTTGTGGTCAGATGTTATTGGCTGGGACGTATACCGTTGTTTCCATAAAACTCATTTTTTTCTTCAACTTGATAGTTCATATCTGGATTTAAGGAAAGTTGGTTTTAATCGGGTTTATTGAAGCTGCTTTTTTTTTTTTCTTTTTCTTTTTCTGGAGGGATCATGCAAAATAAACGACCTTTTAGCAATTTATATTTCTATGTATATATGATTACTGCTCTTTCACGAACTGTTTTGCAGGTAAAAGTTCAAACTTGGATTGATGGAGTTGAGGCAAATGAGTTTGTTGGTGTGGGTGCTAGATTTGGAACTACGATTGTTTCAAAGGAGAAAAATGCACAGCAAACTCACCTTGTTCTTTCTGATCCTCGCGATTGTTGCAGCAAACCAAAAAAGAAGGTTTCATGGTCACACGTATCAAGCATATACATTATAGGTTTGTCAACATCAATTTCACATTTTGCTTTTTTGCAGCTTACTGGAGATGTTATCATGGTTGACCGAGGCCAATGCAAATTCACAACTAAGGCAAATATTGCCCAAGCTGCCAATGCTTCTGCTGTCCTCATTATAAATAACCAGAAAGGTAAGGATTTTGTGTTTCTGAAGTATGATGTGTAGCATTATGTAGCAATGATGCGTTCGGAAAGCTTGAGTATCTAAATATTTTATCTGCGGGTGTGTGTGTGTGTGTGTTCTTGTTGTTGTACTGCTTAGAGAGATTGAAACTATCATCCTAGTTCTCATTTTCCTGGATAAGAGACTAGTTTTCGAGATTTCAATTTGGTATATATGATGGTTGAAACATGGAAATGTAACAAGCGGAAATAAAATGCATTGCAACCATTTTCATTTCATATCAAACTTGTCTCTTTTTGTTGCAGAACTTTACAAGATGGTGTGTGAGCCAGATGAAACTGCTCTAGATATTCACATACCAACAGTCATGCTCCCACAGGATGCGGGTTCGACCTTGGAAAAGATGTTAATGAGCAATTCATTGGGTAAGGTTCTTTACCCTCAGGTGATTTCTAAGCTGCAAAAGTTTGTAACAGTTCTATGGTTATGGGTTTTTTTATTTTTTTTCGTTTTTTATTCTTTTACTGGCTTATCCATTTGTCTCATCTGTTTGTACTTTCCACTCAGGTTTCAGGTTGCAAATAATTTTAGAACTTTTGTTGGGTATACTATACATGTGTATCTAATACCTTTACTGGATAGCGTTCTAATTGTAGGCTCTCTGCAGTGTCTGTGCAGCTGTACTCTCCAAAGCGACCTGTAGTTGACATTGCAGAAGTATTTTTATGGTTGATGGCAGTCGGCACCATCTTGTGTGCATCCTTTTGGTCTGCATGGAGTGCCAGAGAAGCAGCTATTGAACATGAAAGGCTATTAAAGGTCTCCTTTTCCCAACCTTAGCTAAATAGTTGTAGGTTTATATGTTCCCTCACAGAGTGTTGTTCTACTGACATTTCGTTGTAAGTATTGACTTCAACATTATCTTGTCTTGTAGGATGCTGCTGATGAAATCCCACGTGCCAAAACTCCTTTAGGTGCTAGTGTAGTAGACATCAGCACAACGTCAGCAGTCTTGTTTGTTGTTATTGCTTCATGCTTCTTGGTTATACTGTACAAGCTTATGTCAGCCTGGTTCGTTGTGCTTTTGGTGGTTCTTTTCTGCATAGGTGGTGTAGAGGTATGAGTCCTCCCATTTCTAATTAACGACACAATATTCCTCTGCATGCTCACTTATATACTTACACAAAGCATTTATCTCTCAAGTTCCCTGCACAGTAAACATTTACGTTCTGAAGTTGTGCAGGCTTTAGTTTTGTAATGTTAACGTATTTGACATTATATATTTTGTGCTTATTGCTTTATCGAATGATTATATCTAACTTCATCAATCTTCATATCCAGGGATTGCAAACTTGCTTGGTTGCATTGTTGTTGAGGTACAGTTTGTTTCATCTCTTATTGAAACAATCTCTGACACTTTATTATGATTCGCCTTTTGGTCACCTGACGAGTGTCAGTGCACTTGCAGTCTATCAGTTTTTGTCTATTTATTTTTCAGTGTCTGTGTGACTGTATGCATGTGTGCAAATCAAATTTTTAACGGAATACTTCTTTATGTCCCTTTTATCTGGGGATGGTTTATCATAAGATTATTGGGAAGTTGTTTTCAATGTGGGAATTGTTATTCTTCTGATCTTCTGATTCTCTGAATATTTTCTAGAACATTATTCAAGACACAATCTCAAGTTCTAGTTTAATTTGACTAAATCATTTGAGTAAAGTAAAGACAGACCAGAAAACTGGTGGCAGTGTACATTGAAAGAGTCACCCAGTGTGAACTTGCTTTAAGGTCTTAAATTAATTATACATTTTCGCAGGTGGTTCAAACGTACCGGAGAATTGTACATTAAAGTACCTATCTTGGGAGCAGTCTCATACTTAACTTTGGCTGTTTCTCCGTTCTGCATAACATTTGCTGTTCTTTGGGGAGTTTATCGCAACCTTTCCTTTGCCTGGATTGGTCAAGATATACTTGTAAGATTATTTGTCCTATCAAAAGAATTTTTCCCAATGGCATCATAGATTTTGCCCCTTCTTTCTTGAACTTAAAGCTATGCAGTATAGATTTTGTCTCAACTAATGGTGGCTTTAATTTTAATGAATCTTTGATCAGGGAATTGCGTTGATAATCACAGTTCTTCAAATTGTTCGAATACCTAATCTGAAGGTAATACTTTGAACTTGTATGTTTGACTGGTATTCCTCTTTTTGGCCTGAAATTATTGTGGTTGGTAAAAACAGAGTAGGCAATTCGTTTTCCGGCAATTCGTTTTCCAAACACTCTAAATCACTGCTCATTTGTGGAACTAATTGACTGTAATTATGGGGTTGTAGCATTTAAAGTACAGGGTGTCCACGTGTGCAGCTGAATATCTCTGCGTTTGAAAATTCTACTGGAATTTGATTGACTTAAGTATTTACACGTATTCTTCTTTTTGATTTGCTATGGTGTATCTACTCTACTGAATCAGAAATTTCAGATGTGTGTATTTCTTCCTTAACAATTATCTAGTCATTCTAAAAGTTGATAAAAAAAAACACTCGTCTTTTTTGACAGTGGATGGTAGCTGTTCATCTCAAAAGCTTTAATGAGAAGATACCGGATAGTATATACTATATATATGTGTAAGCTTTCCTAGAAACTGATGAGAGGTGGTTTTGTTAATTAGGTGGGTACGGTCCTCCTCAGTTGTGCCTTCTTGTATGACATCTTTTGGGTGTTTGTTTCTAAGAAGTTGTTCCATGAAAGCGTGATGATTGTGGTAAGTGATCCTTGCATGTTTCTCCACTTGCTTTATTTAAGGCCCCTATGACATAAACATTTCATTTTTGAAGGATTTGAAATGCCCGAGAGTCATTTTAACGGCTTGGTCTCCCTTTTACAGGTAGCTCGTGGTGACAAAAGTGGAGAGGATGGTATTCCAATGCTACTAAAGATCCCACGCATGTTCGACCCATGGGGTGGTTTCAGCATCATAGGATTTGGTGACATCCTATTACCAGGCCTGCTTGTAGCATTCTCGCTCAGGTTTAACCTCTACGTCCTATCCCCAATTTGCAAAAAGACTTGTTATCAGCATTTCTCCATGTGTCAAATCTTGGGGCTGTTTATATGCAGTGGAATAATAAATTTACGACTATTCATGGTTTTCCCAGGTATGATTGGTTGGCAAATAAGACTCTCCGTGCTGGATACTTCATTTGGGCAATGATTGCTTATGGATTAGGTAAGATATAATAAAGAGCGTTTTTCGACAGCTACTTTAAGGTTTTAGACGTGTTTCCCGGAAGAAAAACATGATGTTTCACGTTCCTTGGCAGGTCTTCTCATCACATATGTGGCATTAAACTTGATGGATGGGCATGGCCAACCAGCACTTCTTTACATTGTTCCATTTACACTTGGTAAATCCCTTTCTTTCTCGTTCACTGTAAACCTAGTCCAATGCACTTTGGCATTTAAAGTTTAAACACATGAATATAACTGAAGGGCATCACACGTGCAATAGTTTTTCTCTTATCAAGCGATCAAGAACCAGTGCGGATACTTTGTTTCCGTATAATATTGGAATGCTAGATGGTGTGGTTTTAAGTTGAACTGATCAAAATTTACACTCCAATGCAGGCACTTTGCTGACATTAGGTAAGAAGAGAGGTGACTTACAGATTCTGTGGTCTAGAGGAGAACCGGAATGGCCCTGCCCACATATTGAGCTTGAAGGTAGTCACGAAGTGAACGAATAAAAGTTTAGAAACCATTTTCTTGTATGATATTTTAGTGTTGGCATTGTATAATTAGTAGAAATCTGGTAAAGAACCGACGAGCTTCGATTAATTTGGTAATCTTGTCCGTAAGCTTATTGCTCTTTAAATTGAACGAGGGCGCTATCTTAACTATAATTGCGTTCGTTTGGCATCGTCGGTTGTCAACTTGATGAATGGTAAGGCCAGATGGATAGCAATTTTGCAGAGTTTTGTTGACATAAGCAAAGAACATATAGAAACTTCGAAATCATATGTACTTCAACCAAGCAACAACAGAAGTGCAAAAAGACATATAAAGGGTACAAACGACGATAAGTACTAGAATTCATTATGACCGCGACGATGTCCAGCGGTCTCACTGCAGGTCAAGTGTTTGCACCTAACTCGCATTCGGGAGCTTCACGATACCCCGCCGCTGAACCATGTCTGCTTCAACACTGTCAACTAAGAGGGGACGATAGTTGACAGTTGTGAGCTGAATAGACCTACTGAAGCGGTTTCCATTGGCCGGTACATTCTGGACCTGCTCCGAGAGAGCAGACCACTCGTTTTCCAGGCTCCGCATTGCAGGGTCTGGTATATAAGGAGGGTTGTCTATCCCCATTCTAGTGCCGACTTGACTCTCAATGTACCGGAACCTTGCCGCTTCCGAGACCATCTGAATGATCACAATAAACGCTGCGGCTTGGTCGGAGTGGGATGCCGCATAGTGCAACTTACTGATGGCGTTATCGAGTTCATTGCGTCCCAGAGGGATTTGCTCAAGCATAGGTATATTCTCATGTATACGTGACCCTAGAGCACCTGATGCACTTGATTGTGCTGTACGTCGTGCATGTGGTCCAAGCTCGGGGTAGTCTCCGGTGAAAGGGAGCAGAGTCCGCGTGGACTGGGTGGCGCCGAGGGCGGTGGGGAATAAAGTGTGCGTTGGAGCTGGTTTTTTAGCGTCATTTGCAAGTATGTAGGATTTATTACCAGAACGATATCCCACCACATAAACGTTTACTACATCGATTGCGACCCTGATGGTGTCGCCGTTATAGTTGGTGAGATCAACATAAAGAAAGCGTTGCGCGTCTGGCACGTCTTTTATTCGGGGCAGCACCGGTATACCATGTGATGTCGGTCGTCCGGCTGTGAGTCGGGCTCGTAGTGCTTCGATGAATGCTGTGTATGTCTTAGGGGTTGCCTTCAAAAGAGAGAGGGCAAGTGCCATGTTAAAGCAAGAACAAGGAAAATTGTATCAAAAACTATCCTCGTTCTATTTGAGGGATTTGTGTTATTTGATGAGGAGCGTTGATATATATATATATATATGTGTGTGTGTGTGTGTGTGTGTGTGTGTGAATCGGGTTGGTAGTTCAGCATTGCAAAATATTGTGAATCGGGTTGGTAGTTCAGCATTGCAAAATATCCCAATTACGAAATATCCTTCGAACACGCAACACTATTTTGACAGCGGATTTTTTAATTAAAAAAATCTATTCCAATCTTTTTTTTTTCTTTCTACTAAAAAAGATTTTATTAAGTTCTAATTGAAATGTTTATATCATCAACTAAGATGTTAACAAGGAACTCGAAACTAATACAATCCCATTTAAAAGAACTTCTAATTTTTTTTAATAAACGCTGCGCAGAATGTTGCTTTCTTGACGAACAAACTCGAACGAAACAGACCCCACATCATTTGTAATAGCATGCTTTCCACCTCCGCATCAACACCGAACTCCTTCCTTATCATCCTAATAACTTCACGAGCATCGGACCCTATGATAATGCTTGACAAACCATGTCTGCTGCACTCCTCCAATCCTTTACGTCTAGAATAAAATCATGTATAAGATCAAAAACTAACTCTAGTCTTTGGCTTTTAATTGTAATTTTTGAATATTAATATGGTTTAGAATAATTATAGAGTTTTTTTATGTGTAGGTTATATATTAATTCCCATAGACAATAAAAATGTTGGCTAAATCACCAAAATGGTCCTAAGATTTGCATAACACACATTTTGGTCCCTGAAATTACAAATCAATAGAAGTGGTCCCTGACATTGTCCACCATCCATCATTTTGGTCATTCCGTTAAAAACTCTGTTAAGTGTCCAATATCTCTTGGCCGGAAGTTTGGGCAATTTTTAAAGTTTCGTAACTCAATCGTTTCTTAACCAAATTCGATCCATAATATATCAAAAAGAAGATAGGAAAGTGTAGAATAAGATTATACCTATTTGGAAGCCCAGTGGTTGCCGGAGATGGCCAGAAAATAGCCTTAAAGTTGACTGGTCAGAGGGAAAACTTGAAAACTTGCCGGAAATAGGGTAAACTTTAAACGTTCATAACTTTTTTAATACTCAACGAAATCAAGTGATTCAAAAATGAAGATCATACTTCTCAACGAAATCGAGTCATTCAAAAAGGTACCTCTGAATGGTACCTTTTTGGATGGCCAACTCGCCGTGGTTTGGCCGGAAAACGGCTCGAAAATGGCTAACTCGAGACCAAGATAACCATTTTCGAGCAGTTTTTCGGCCAAAACACAGCGAGTTAGCCATAGAAAAAGATACCATTCTCTTCGTCTTGTCGAGAAGTATGATTTTTGTTTTTGAATCAGTTGATTTTGTTGAGTATTGAAGAAGTTATAAACGTTTAAAATTTACCCAGTTTCCGGCGAGTTTTCTAATTTTTCCTCGGACTAGTCAACTTTGAGGCTATTTTCTAGCCTTCTCCGGCAACCATTGAGCTTTAAAGGAGGTATAATCTTATCCTACACTTTCCCATCTTCATTTTGATATATTATGGGTTGAATTTGGTTAAGAAATGATTGAGTTACGAAGCTTTGAAAATTGCCCAAACTTCTGGCCAAGAGCTTCGAGACGCTTAATGGAGTTTTTAACGAAATGACTAAAATGATGAATGGTACACAATCTCAGGGACCACTTCTATTGATTTGAAATCTCAGAGACCAAAGTGATGTGTTACGCAAATCTCAAGGACAATTTTGGCGATTTAGCCTAAAAATGTTACTTATCACTGATAAGTGTTTTTAAGTTCCCATAATAAAACAAGTCATATACTTTCATCTATTCTTCCTTGTGCATAAATTTCTATATATATGTATTTGCATATTACGTACTTATGTATGTTTAGATATTGAGTTATATATTGATACATTTGTAAAAGTCGTACTGAAATTTATGTACCGATACATTTATACTAAAGCTTACATCACAATACATTCATAAGAAAGCTTATGGATGATGCATTTTAACCTATGAGTTTTTTATAAATTGTTTTTTATTTGTTGTTAACTTTTTATGTATAAAAATTTAAATTTTGAATTTGTTTTTATCCATTAATATGATTGGAGCACAAAAAATGTACGTTACTTGTGTATGAATGTATAATTTAGAGAATTTTAACGAAAAGCTCTCAGTATTATTTACTTTAACGAAAAATCACATTTTTATACTAAAAAGTCAATCTTGGTACTATTCACTTTACCTTTTATTTTGTCCTTATCGTTAAAACTTAAAATTTTCAAATATTTTTCATTAATTTTCTTTATAATTTATGGTGGTAAATTTATAAATATTGAATGTGCTATAAATATCTAGATATGAAAAGTATTGTTCAAAGGACTTGAATTTGATTTAGAAAATTGTTCAGGTTATTATTTTATACTACATTAAGAAAAGACAAAAATATTTGAATTCGACACGTCTCGTTAGTTTTATCCAAATGAGACCTAACTGAATTGGTCTTCTTTTTTTTGGAAAACGAATTGGTCTCCTGGGGCTGGGATAAGTTGAACTTTGTACTTCTTCGACTCCGAGATCTTTTAATTTTTATGGCAGACCAAGTGATTATCCACTACACATGTGCATCTTCAGAACCGTTGGATTCTCTTTGAAAACAATATATGCTTAACAAATTTATTCGATCCCTAGTTACTATTGTTTATTGACTGAGATTTTACAAATTTTCAAATTTTTTTATTGAAGTCCCTAGCATAATGTGATAATGAATTTACATGTTAATTACATATTTTTTAAAAATAAAAATTAGTATTTGATTTAGGGTTTGAATACTCACACCTTTATTAAACTCCTAATTAATTTTCGATTCAAACATTTCCCAAAAAAAAAAAAAAAAAAATATTAGAATAAGTTTGTACCACTTAGTTTTTTTTTATAAAAAAAAATCTCAAATTTTAATCTTAAATGTACCCATTCATATAATTTTCATTTTTTTTAATCTTAAATGTGCCATTCTTAAATATACCAATTTATTATATGTAAAATGTACCTTTTTTTTTTTTTTTTAGTATCCCACATCGGCGCGATGAGGGTTGGTCCCTGGCCTTATATGTACATACCCCTCTCTTCCTAGCATGACGCGTTTTGGGTAGTGAGGTTCTCTTGCGTAAGAACAAATTCGTGAGGGTGTGGCCCAAAGCGGACAATATTGTACTACAGCGGAGTTGGGATGTGACAGTTTGATATCAAAGCCAGACTCACCGCCCATTCGGATGTGCCGACGAGGACGTCAGTCTCCCTAAAGGGGGTGGATTGTAGTATCCCACATAGGATGGGTGAGGGTTGGTCCTTGGCCTTATATGTACATGCCCCTCTCTTCCTAGCATGATGCGTTTTGGGTAGTGAGGTTCTCTTGCCCAGGAACAAATCTGTGAGGGCGTGGCCCAAAGGGACAATATCGTGCTACGGCGGAGTCGGGATGTGACATTTTTAATATAAAATGTTCCCAATTTTTCAATATAAAATCCATTCAAAAATTTTTTAATCCATTTTTAAAATTATATGGGTACATTCTTTTTCATTGATTTGAGAATGTATCAATGTCAAGTTTAATAGAAGAAATTTACTAATCTTATTAAGCCTAATATCTTTTTTTTCCTGCGGTTTTGAAGAATGTACCTATGTTTTGGTACAATATATATATATATATATATATATATTTTTTTTTTGTTAATTTGATGAATGTACCTATATATATTTATGTACACACACACACACAAAATATAATAGAGAGTATAATTTATATTTTATTATTTTTAATCCCACAAATTATGGGTTTTATTTAAAATCTCATTAATATAAACAAATACACATTTCAATTTTTAATTTTTAAT